TGCCCCAGCCAGGATGCTGGTGGCTTCTTGGCCACCTGGGCACACACTGGCTCTTCTCCAGACAGCTGTTGACTAACTCCCCTCAAAGTCCTTTCCCACCAGGCACTTTCCAGCCACTCTCCCCCAGCCTGGAGCACTGCAGGGGGTTGTTGGGACCCAAGTGCAGGACCCAGCCTCTGGCCTTGTTGAACCTCATCCCATTGATCTAACAGCAGTGTAGCAATGGAGTGAAAACCTACTGGATGGTGAGAAAAAAAGCCTGTGTGACAATTTTATGGAGAAACATGGAAAGGCATCAGCCCTCATGACCACTCACTCTCAGGAGACTCAAGCAGACGTTTTGAAGTACAAGTTCCCCAGGCCTGTACCCTGGACCAGCTGCTCCTTCCCTGCAGCTTATCACTACACTGGCACAGGGTCCCAGCAGCCACCCCAGCACACAGACCACCCTCTTTAATGACTTCAGCCTGGAAACCTGGTGGTGAACCCACACAGCTTGTGGACAACTGTTCCTTCTACTGCCCAGATGGCTCTGACCCCAGCCTCTTGACACACCCCACCCTGTTTAGATGTTCATCAGCATTGATCAGATCCCCTCTGAGGCTTCTCTTCTCCAGCTCAGCAGCCCCAGGGCTCTCAGCCTGGCCTGGCACAGAGATGCTCCAGCCCCTCAGCAGCTTCACAGCCTCCACTGGACTCTCTCCAGTAGCTCCTTGTCTCTCAAATCAGGAATCCTAGAACTGGACCCAACACTCTCAAGGTGGCCTCCCTAGGGCAGAGTGGAGGGGGAGAACAACCTCCCTTGACCTGCTGGCCACACTCTTAACTCTTTAGAGCATCTTAACTCTCCCCAGCAGAGAAGCCAGGCAACCAGGCTCTCTACAGTGAGGAAAATCAGTGCTCAAAGCAGAACACAACTGCCTACATCCAAAACTATTCATGTAGAATTAAGGCAATCCTTCAGAAGATGGCAGGCTTGGGGAGCATGGACTTGGTCCCTCCCAAGTACACCACACAGAGGGGCCAGACCCACCCCATACATCATTAACCACTCAGGTTGAACAGCTCAGAAGAGCAGAATCCACCTCATCTTCCAGTATTTACCCCTCCCCTTGTGCAGGGCAAGTCTTGATTCAATCTGTCTTCTCCTAAGAGCTGTCTCTTGGAATAAAAATCTCAACAGAGCTGGTGCTGTCATGCCCAGCTGGCAGGAGACATGTCCCAGAGGTCACTTTGGGTTCCCTGGTTGGACACATCCCACCCCCACTCATACCACCTCTCAGGAACCCCTAGAGAAGACACACCTGAGAGCATTCCTACAGGGATATGATCCCTTTCCAGGATGAGAGGCAGGGAGAAGAATTTTGTGAGGACTCCCCCAAATACCTGGGTGTAGGGTCCTTCCAGTCCCCCCTCTTGTTGGCTTTGGTTGCTCTGGAGAAGTCGTTGGCCCGCACGCTGCCGAACAAGCCGAAGTGGAAGTGCAGCCAGGTGCCTGGGCTCTCTGCCACCTCTTGGCCTTCAGGCCTGCAGTGCTGGAGTTCCTGCAGCTTCCCACCCAGGGGACGTGTCTCTGGAGCACAAACCTCTCCCTGCCCTCCCCGGGCAGAGGAACTTGCCCCACTCACAGCCTCTCTTTGCAGCACTGCCTCGTCTGCAGTTGGTCCTAAGGGACCTTCAGCTGCCACAAATTCCAGGTACAAGTTCTTCCCATGAACCTGAGAAAAAAGGTGGGATGGGCTGAGGATCCACGACCTCTGGCAGTTTTGATACAGTTGACTGTTTTCTGCAACGCCTTTTAGACAGAAGGCACATCCCCCCACCCTGAACATGGGCTTCATTAGCATCTGAGCCATCAAGTCATCCTCTCAGCACCCCTTCTTTGTCTACATGAAAGCACAAGGTGTTCAGAAGCCACTCCAGAGGCTCCTGCCAGGCCCCAAGAGACACACCAGGACAGAAAGCATTTCAAAGTTTGTCATCACTGCTTCTCATTCACCTCCCCACTTTGTGCTGGCCTCAAGTGTCTCAGGCTAGGGTGACCTGACTCAAGGTGGCTCTGGAGCCACAGGCTAGCCACAAATGACTGCTGAGGAGCTCACATCAGTGGCCCCAGCTGAGACTATCATATGATCAGAGGTGATCACATTCAGCCAGTCAAGTCCAAATCACCACCTGAGGGGAGTCAGGCAAGTGAAGCAGGACTGACCCAGAGTGACTGTCTCAGGAGTGCCCACAGCCCAGGTGTTTCACAGCATGGTAAAGGGTGGAGGAGACCTCTAGAGATCATCTCATCCAACCCCCTGCTCCAGCAGCTCACCCACAGCAGGGTGCCCAGGATCACATCCAGGAGGGTTTGGGATCTCTCCAGAGCAGGAGACTCCACAGCCTCTCTGGGCAGCTGCTCCAGGGCTTGGACACCCTCCCAGCAGAGAAGTTTCTCCTCCTTTTCAGATGGAACCTCCTGGGTTCCAGTTGGTGCCCGTTGCCCCTTGTCCTGTCCCTGGCACCACTGAGCAGAGTCTGGCCCCAGCCTCTTGCCCCCCGGGGCCCTTTAGCTCTTGCTCAGCACTGCTCAGATCCCCTCTGAGGCTTCTCTTCTCCAGCTCAGCAGCCCCAGGGCTCTCAGCCT